GATACACTTGACTGACCAGCAAAAGCCCAAAGAGAAATATGAAACATTTCTTTTGAAAGAATATATAAAGGGAGATAGGTAATTAAAAAAAAAAAATGAACAGTTGTTCAAAATAAACACAGTTTTGTTTTACAGGGTTATTCATTCTTATATGTGTGTTTATCATTCCCACATGCCTATTCATTCATTCTTATATGCGTGTTCACTCATTCCTATATGCACGTTTATAAAAGAGTCAACTTTTATAAAAGAACAAACAAAATCTCTAAAAAATTTTATATAAACAACAAATAGCATTTTTCTATATAGATATATTCAAAATACAAATCAGGCCGTTACCACTGCCATTTAGAAGCCGCCCACTGTATATTGATTATAAAGAGTTTGCTACTTATGCACTTTAACTCATGAACTTATAAAATGTTGATACATGACTTATGTTAACTAACTAAGTAGTCAGAATATGGTGATATTGAATGCAAGAAAAATGATGCGCATGGATGGACTAATAAGCACATAGAGACACCTCAAAAACAATATTTGAATAATTTCAATTTTTTTATTTCAGAAAACGCTGCTGGTCATTCCAGAAGCAACTTTATTTTTGAGGAACCCAGAATTTCAATTTTCATTCAATGATGCAGGGCTGACTTCTTTGTTTATAATTAAGATGTTATTACATAAAAAAATATTTGAAAATGGTGGCTTAGAACAAGAAAGGTTGTTTTATTTTTTTTTATATTTTTAATTTAACACAATGTTTGTTATGTTTTTTAAATCTATATTTGCTATAATCAGAAGTTTATGAAAACTTCTGATTATAGCAAATATAAAAATAAACTGTATTTTTAAGTTATAAACTAGAAATTCAATATCTGTATTAAGTGCTGTCACACTTTTTTAACTCTCCCTTCAAAGTTACTTAATATATAATTATTTTTTTTTAATGCACTTTATACATTAGTTATAGAATATAACTTTTTATATAAATTTTATTATTAGGTATTTTATTTTGTTTGAACGAATGATCACAGTGCTATTTAAAGGAGTAAGCAATCAGTTACAATCTTCTCAGTTTGTTTTTACAATGCTTGTGCATGCGGCAAAGTATATTGTTTTTATATTTCTATTTAATTATGCATTACTTTTTGTTACATATTTATATTATATATAATATATAATATATATATATATATATATATATATATATATATATATATATATATATATATATATATATATATATATATATATTATATATATATATATATATATATATATATATATATATATATATATATATATATATATATATATATATATATATATATATATATATATATATATATATATATATATATATATATAATATTATATATATATTATGTATATATATATATAATATATATATATATATATATTATATATATATATATATATATATATATATATATATATATAATATATATATATAATATATATATATATATATATATATATAATATATATATATATGATATATATATATATATATAATATATATATATATGTATATAATATATATATATCGTCGGGTAGTGCTAATCCACGTAATAATACTCTTTATACTAAAATGAACCGAAAATCAGTTAAAATAAAAGATATATAAAGTTTTAAACTTCTCCAGTAAAAAAAATGTATTGTAGATACGCGGTATTATCCAATGCTAGTTACGCGGTTTTGCACTATCCCCGGCAATATATATATATATACTCACACATTAGGGTGTCCCAAAAAACAACTTTTTTTAAATATGTCTACTCTTACTCTCAAAATGTGTTCTAAATAACAAATACTGGAATTAAAAATAATTTTTTTGAAAAAAAGTATTTTCAGAGGTAGCTCAAGTTCTTTAAACATCAGACAAAGACCCCAATATTATTAAAAAAAAAGTTCTTTATTTTTTTATTTTATAAAAAATGATTATTTTAAATTTCGCTGCCTAAAAAATTACATTTTCAGCAAAATAAAAATATGCATTTTTACAAAAAAAACTTTTTAATTTTTTCTCTTCTCAGTGTTTTATATAAAATGTTGATTATTTTTGGAATTTTTATATAAATTTTATTAATAGGTATAAATTTTATTAATAGGTATAAATTTTATTAATAAATCCCTGATAAAAATAGAGAAAAGATTGATTAGTTGATAGTTACATGGGTCATAGTTTTTATAAATTGGAACCACAAATGCTTTTTTCTATTAGGAAGGAAAACAGGAATCAGTTAAGCGTCTAATAAATATTTTAGAGAGTGATATAGTTCTGGATAACACTTTTGTAGGACTGACTGTAATGTGGTCTGGACCACAAAATGCAATAAAGTCCAAAAGATAATTAAGTTTTTGAATAAGAATGATTTGGGCACAATAGATCAGGTTGTTAAATATTGACTAACCTGGGATAACAAGAAGATTGTCCATCCTGAGCAGCCAACAATATGTAAGAAAATAATTAAAGAGCATGGAATTTGGATTAAGCATCAAATTAAAATTAATTTCACTTTTTTTTCAAAACCAATTCAACAAAGCCACTATTTAAGTTAGGAGTTTAGTAGTGGTCCAACAAAGCAAATGACCACTAGTTAGGAGTTCACTAGCGGTCCAACGAAGCAAATGACCACTATTTAAGTTAGAAGTTCACTAGTGGCCCAACAAAGCAAATGACCACTATTTAAGTTAGGAGTTCACTAGTGGTCCAACAAAGCAAATGACCGTAATTTAAGTTAGGAGTTTAGTTGTGGTCCAACAAAGCAAATGACCACTATTTAAGTTAGAAGTTAACAGAAAGCTAATGGCTACTATTTATGTTAAGAGTTCAGTAGTGGTCTATAATTGGCTATAGCTGTGTATATCTGCCATAAAAAAAAAATTCTTTGAATAAAAAATATTAATTGTAATTTGCTAAATTTATTTAGTCAGTTAAATCTTTAATACATGCTGGGCATTTTGCATAGTTGACACAAAGAACTCTTTAGTTAAACAACTAACAAAATAGTGAATTTTTTTTGTAAATCAATTTACTCACTCATTAACTCTTACCTTATGAAGGTATTTTTCATTTTTTTGCTCTATTGTCTCTATATTACTTCCTACTGTGCTTTTTGTTTGTTTTTATTTATTTTTCCCTATTTTATTGTTTTATTTTATTTTTACAAAATATCATTTTAGTTGTTTGTCTTTTAATTTACACCTATTAATTTCACACCAAAATAAAAATATTGTGAAATGTTTTTTTTAATGTCAGATTTTTATCTTTAGAAAGTTCAAGTCTGATGATATTTGTTGGCGTCTGTGGAGTACAATAAGTTGTTTACTTGTGGAGTATGTATGTAGAACAGGGGATGTAAATCAAGGTGACCCTCTGAAATTTGAATTTCACACACTATTAGATGCATTAGTCTTTCCCTTAAAATATATTTGTCTAACCAAACTTAATGATGGCACCAAAAAAGAGTTGTTAAGAGTTTGGACTGAACTTTACACAGCGTTTTCTAGAAGTGTGAACCTTCTTCCTGGTGTTGAATCAAATCTTGCCATGGATGAGTTTTTCACAGTTCTTCATAATTATATCACCACTCAACCTAATGTAATTCTTTTTGTTTGTTTTGCTTTGTTTATCTGTTAAAAACTTTTCATTTTTGTTTTAATTTTTATTTTAATTTAAATTTTATATTTTTAATATTTATTTTTTCAATATTTTTTTTATCACAATTTAGTATATCTTTTATTTTAGGGCCTTCTTACTGACCCAAACTCCTTAAATACTCTGATAGATATAGGTTTTGTTTCACTTGAAAATGTAGATTGGTCAGAATCAATACTTTCTTTAACTCCTTCTAAGTTAAACAAACGAAGAAAAAACCCTCTTGGAAATCTAAAATCATTTGGAAATACAATAGTTTTTTTACTAAACATGATGTCACAAAAAGTAGAGAAGGGGGTAATATTTTATTTAGCTATAATTAACATGTACTTTTTTATTATAATTATTTAAAGCTAGTAAAAAAAAATGTATTTACATATTAAACTAAAAATAGAATAATTTAAATCTTAAACTATTAAATCTTTTAAAAACTATTAAAAGGTTATTTTACTACTTTTTAAATGTAATTTTATTTTTATTTCTATTGTAATTTTTTTTTTATTTCTAAATTTTATTTCAATTGCCTAATAAACAGTATTATAAATAAGTTTATACTTTATCACTTGTGTATTTACACTAGCATTTTCTGCTCTATGCTTTGTGTAATTATACTACTGTTATTTCATATATATATATATATATATATATATATATATATATATATATATGTATGTATGTAAAATATAAAATATTACTGATGATGTCATGTATATATAACATCATCAGCAATTCTTTATGCGCACCCAAATACCCAGTAGTTTTTTATTCAAATATATATATATATATATATATATATATTATATATATATATATATATATATATATACAATTTAGCATATCTTTTATTTTAGGGCCTTCTTATTCATTTTATTCATATATATATATATATATATATATATATATATATATATATATATATATATATATATATATATATATATATATATATATATATATATATATATATATATATATATATATATATATATATGAATAAAAATACTGTATTTAGGTGTGCATAAAATATTATGATGTTACACTGAAATAGGAGTGGTGAGAGCAATGCTGAAAATTACTTTTTTAATACTACATTCAATAATTTTATAAAAAACTATTTTCTTTAGTATAAATGAGATTTAAAAAGTACTGTGTACTCCTCTATACCATAGTATTTATGTGTATTTGAGTGTCATGTTGTATAAAGAGCGTTTATTTAATTATTATTCAATACAAAATTATTCCATATAAAAGGTAATTTTTGGCTTAGAAAGTGTTGTGTTGCATAGAAATTTTATTATACTGGTACAACAAATTGCAAAATAACAGGTCTTGGTCATTTATCAGTAGTTATGGTTTTGTAAATTTATTGTTTTTATGATAGTTAAAAAGTATTTCTTTACATTAAATATTTTTATTTTCATTTTGTCTTAGTTTAATTAAAGTAACATTATTTAGTAAGTAGGTACATTAGGATTTTATTATATCCCTTTTTTAGGAAAGTTGTGGTTATGAAAAAAACTTTTTGCGGTTGTTTGACTTAGTTGAAAAATTTTATGTCTCTGTTAATAACTCCACGCTTTTGGTTGAATGGTCTCGCTTATTAGTACCATCGCTAGCAACTGTGCTTAGTTTGTGTGCAAAGTATTCTAACAAAGTCAACATGAACATTGAAAAAATGATCAATACCATATTCTCGACATTTGAAATAATTTCTCAAAATATTTTTCATTCTGATCTTCTACGATTATTTGAACCTTTTTTAATAGAATGTTTTAAAAGTGATAGAAAATCATTACGCACTAGAGCTGCTAAATTTTGGAATAATACATTTGCCAAAACAGCTGTTCTTGATTACTCTGATAATTTGAAAACAACTTTTTTAAACTATTCTTCTAAAGTTCATCTCATTTTACCAAACTTTATTGATCGTATTCCTTCACCAGATCTCCATGAAGATATAACACAGTTTTCAAACAGTCCGTTAGTTTCTTTGTCACCAAATTTAAAATCTAAATCACCTATTGTTGTTTCACCTGTCAAGATATTTGGTAGTTTTCTTCGAGATGGATGTTCACCAATGTTGAAAAAAAGTCCTGTAACAAAATTGTTCAATTCTCCAATATCACAGTTAAAAGAGAGTCACACAAAGATTGCACCTAAAAACTCAAATGTTTTTATTGAGATTTGTGAATCACCTAAACGGAGGAGAATACTTACTGAACACCAAAAAGAAAAGTTGAGAGAACGTCATAATTTTCCTGCTATGTACAACAACCTTGATCAATCACAAGATGGTACTTTTTTAAACATGCTTACTCAAGATTCCTTAAGTCAAACATCTTCATTATCTGAATCAGACAATAACTCGACCATTGTAACAAATATATCTAATGGTAACCCTGATTTCAAAGAGTCACATAATAGTTTTAACACACCTAATGATGTTGCAGAACCTATTCATAAAACTATTTTTACTGATACAAATAAACTTATAACTGAAGCTGAGGAATTAGGTTGTAATAATTTAAATACAAAAGATGTTAATCCGTTATCAATGGATATCCTTCCTGATAATCCTTCTACAGACTCACTATCACCTGAAATTATTCTTTCTTCACAGGCATCAACTCAAAGTCCAAATAAGATAAAGTTTTCAATTCTTTCGCCAGCCGTAACCAAAAATGATTCTCCGAGTTCTGTAAAGCGTCATGTTGGTAAACTTCACAAAACAGTAGAAAGTGGAAAATCAGCTTTAAGCTGTGATAAAGAAAAATGGCTTACTACCGACAAACAGAACAACAAAAACCATGAAGGGCAATCTGAAAATCTCAGAGTTTCGTCAAAAATTAAGAAAAGAAAAAAAATTGAAAAGATTAATGATACAGGTTTAAAAAACACTGCTCGAATTATTGAAAAAGTTGATGAAGAAAAAAATGAATGTTCTAATGAGTTTCTTGAAAAGTTAAAAAATGCTGAAATCAAAAAAAGTCCCGAGTCAAAGCCAATCTTAAACAAAGTGAAGACGAATTTAAAAAGGAAGAGAGGAAGACCCACATTGTCTCAAAACAAGCGCAAAAAATATGATTTAAGTTTTGTGAAAGACAATGAAAAAATCATTGCAAATCAAAGTAATAACCCTCCATTAATCAGTAATGTCAAGGAAGAAAGAATAAGTTCAGTTGTTGAAATGAATTATTTTGAAGACAGTATAAATTGCAATATATTTGACTTTAATCAGAATTTAAATCAAGAATTTATAAATGAAACAAAAAATGAAAGTGATATTGAGTGTGTAAAAGAAAAATTAGTACAAGTAACAAATGATGTCGAATTAAAACTTTCAAGTTCATTAGTGTCTGAATTTACTGAAAGCAAAGAAAAGACTACAGATGAAAATGCTAAGGCAGTTGAATGTGATCTTGAACCAATGACAGATCAGGTGGTTCTAATGGCAATAGATAATAGTAAAGAGATAATAGCAATAGATAATAGTAAAGAGGTTCCTGATAAAGTTGATAACCCTAATCATCTACAAATTAATATCCCTTATGACCTGCAAATTGATAACTCTAATCAAGTTGATATAAAGTCTTCATCTTGTTCATTGTTGTCTCCTAGTAGTCCTGTTTGTCAGATTGCTATTATAAAAACGCCATGTTTGAGTCCAACAATAATGCTAACTCCATCACACAAAATGTCACCTGCTAATGGGATTCTTAAAAAGAAACCTAACATGGCTTCACCACCAATAACTAAGGTTTTTAAATATTTTTTTTTACTAAAACTTTTTTAAATTTAAGATTTGTGTTTTTAAAAAATATTAAATGTTTCTTTCCAAATTATTAGATTTGTGTTTTCAAAAAATATTAAATGTGTCTTTCAAAATTATTAGATTTGTGTTTTAAAAAAATACTAAATGTGTCTTTTAAATTAATGTGTCTTTCGAAAATATTATAAGTAATTTTACTAGAATCTCTTACTTTCCTTAAAGTATAATTTTTACAAATTGATTTATTTACCATTAGGTTATGTATCATTTATATAAGGCCTATGACCAAATGCTTTTTTTGATTATTATATAGTCAAGACATGTGACTTTCCAAGTGTCTTCCGATTCCAAAGATGATCTTAGTGATTTGGCAAAACCTTTTAATGAATCTTCTGATAAAGGTTATACAATGGTTAAAAAGGCAAGATATCTTTTTTTTTTATGTTTATTAAAAAATATTTCAGGAAAATGTTACATTTTTCCCTTGTTCTAGTTTTTACCAATTAGATATTTTACTTTTAGAAAAGTGACTTTTGTAAAAAATCTGCAATATATCCACAGTTGGCAAACTGCTCAGCACCAATTGAAAAAATTCTTCCGTCTCTTACTTTTTCACGTGGCATTGGTCACTTGGTTCGTGCACAAAACATCTTAACAATTGGTGATTTGAGTTCACTCACAGAAATGCAAATTGAGAATTTACCTATTCGCTCACCAAAAGTAACTACTGTACGTAATGCATTACGAACATATGCAAAAGGAAAAATTCTACCCAAATCTCCTCTTGTAATAAAGGTTCCAACAGGTTGCTATTGATACGTTTTATTTTTATTATGAATTAAATTTGGTTGTAAAGGTAAAAAATACAAATAAAAACTTTAAAAGACTTATAACGTTAAATCAAATTAAAAGCTTTTATCTGTAAATGGGTATTTATCAATTTTTATAGTTTTTACAATCTTTTAAGTTGATACAAATAAAATAAGTTATTTTAAAAATTATTAAAAATTAAATTATTTAATTTAAAATTTATAAAGTTTTTATTTAACAAGTCCATCTCATGTAGGTATAGAGTTATCAATAGGGTTGAAAAAAATGCTCCAAATTTTTTTAAATATTCAACCACATCAGAAAAAATTGTTTCTTTTTTGTTATTATTTACTATTATTTTTTAGTATTTTGAACAATATCCAAAAAATACTAAAATGTACCGCTTTACTTTTACAAAAAATTTTCAATACTATAAAATTTTTTAAAAATTTAGATAATTTTCAATAATAAACTAAAAATTAGACTAAATTAGTAGAATATATTGTAATTTATATATATATGTGTATATATATATATATATATATATATATATATATATATATATATATATATATATATATATATATATATATATATATATATATATATATATATATATAGTTTATATATAGTAGAATGTATTGTAGTTGATATATATATATATATATATATATATATATATATATATATATATATATATATATATATATATATATATTAGGGTGGTTCTAAAAATAACGTTTTTTGAAAATGTCTAATGGCACCCCCTAAATGAGTTCTACATAATAAATTAATACTACATTAAAAAATTTTTTGAATAAAAAAAACATGAGATGGGTACCTAATATTTTGAAAAAAAAGTTCTTTAAAAACATATCATGTTGGGTCTCAGAAGAAGTAAAATTTTATAAAACATTCAAAAACAATAATCATTTTATATAAAGAATTTTATGGCTTAAAAACTAATTTTTTTTTACAAAAAATAAAAAGTCATATTTGCATAGTTTTTTTAATATTTTTTAATTGGTGTTTTCATAAATTTTTTTATTATTTTTATAAAATTTCACTTCTTTTAAGACCCAACACGTTATGCTTTCAAAGAACTTTTTTTTTCTAAATACTAGGGACCTGTCTGATGTTTAAGGGTCTTAAGTGACCCCTAAATATATATATATATATATAATATATATATATATATATATATATATATATATATATATATATATATACACAGCTTTCATAAATGTTTAATGTTTTGCTATTAAATCAAAATCATTTTTAAAATGTTTGTTGCATAGGCTTCCTCAAACCTTAGAAGTTGGGGTGGGGGTGGGGAGTTTGGACAGGGTAATGGATTTCTATTTACTCATATAAAATCCTTATCACTTAACATTTAAAAAAATTGTTTTAAAATTATATTTGCCTATCTTTACAATCACCAATAATTGTGTCACACTGACACAATTATTGCCGACAGATCAAACGATCTTTTTTTTCTTTCAAGCAAGCTTATTCTGGGTGTATGGTTTCTCTATTAAATTTGCCCTCTACAAATAATATTTTTCGAAATGTTCTGGAAATTTTATTTCTCAATAGTTTAACTTTTATTAAAAGATTAAAAAACTGACTTTAGTCAGGATTGATGCAGAGTCAATTTTCTGTCCATTAAACAAACTCAAACTTGTAGCATAATTATAAGTATTGTATGAGCTATTAGTAAGTTGGTAAATCGCTTTATGTGTAAATCAGAGAGTTTTGAATTTACAAGTTTATCATTTAATTAAAAAACAAAGCAAGAATAATATATTTTGGAAATTTAAACATGGAATAAACAATTAAAACCGCTGCTGATCTATTTTAAACTATGCTTCATTTCTTTGCCAAGTCATAATGTCTACAATGATTAGTTTTTGTTGAGGCTGTTTTGCACGGTTTCATTCCCATTGCCAAGGCTAGATATCAACATTTCAATAAATAAAAAATTTTTTATCTAATATAATTCTGTAGTATTTTTCATAATGAATATAACTGACAAAAACAAGCACTACAAGTATACTCGTACTTTGGTAATGGAAAAGAAATATTTTTCTCCAGTTCTGAAGTACAAGTATACTCATAACACCATAATGAGTATAACTTATTGTGGTGACTAGTAATGTAGTTTATTTGGTGCATTAGGCATCCGCAATCAGTATAACTCGTTTCAGTGACTAGTAATGTAGCTTATTTGATACATTAATATTATAAATAGTGTTTCAATTTATTTGCACATGCACATAGTTATCATGAGTAAAAAAAGATAATTTATATTTCGTTTTCTTTATTCTTAATTGTTGTGTTTTTGACTAAATTGTGTACACGAAATAAATGTGAAAGAAAAAGTTTGTCATTTTTTTTAGGTGGTTATATTAAAATATTTTTAATTGTTTTGTATTTTGTTTACGTGTCGTGTTGTGGTTTCAAAAAAATGTATTAGTTTTTTTATTTAACTTAAAATTAGTTTTAAAAATGACAAAAGAAGATGACATAAGAGAAAAAATTATGCTCAAATATTTGGAAAATCCCAATAGTAGCTACAATTTGATAGCAAAAGTGTTGCAAATACATCCATACACCGTTAGTCGTGTAATCCAACGTTTTTCTCAAACAAAATCGATCAAACGTAAATCTGGTGGTGGAAGAAAGAAGGGTTTTAAAGATAAAAAACTAGTTAGAAAACTGGTTAACAGTTTTAAGACTAACCCAAGCCTTTCACTAAGGGAGCGCGCAAACATTTATGGACTTTCTCATAGTTTTGTTGTAAAAGTTCGAAATAAACATGGTTTTCATTCTTTCAAAGCACAAAAAGTGCCCAACTGATCTGAAACTCAACAAAAAAGTGCAAAAACCCGCTGCAGAAATTGTATGACAATTTTATTTCTAAAAATTTCTGTATTATGGAAGACGATAAAACTTATATCAAGTTTGATCATCAGCAAATTCCTGGTGCAGTCTATTATATTGCCAAATATAGAGGAAAAGCAGATAAGAAATTTAAATACATAAAACATAACATTAAATACATAAAGCATAACATAACAAAATAAAACATGACACGTTTTCTAAAAAAGTCTTGATTTGGCAAGCTATTTGCAGTTGTGGCAAAAAATCAGCACCTTATATTTCTCAGTCCACACTTTCGGGTCAAATATATGTTAGAGTGTTTACAAAAACGTCTATTACCTCTCATTAAATCACATGATAAGAGACCTGTGTTCTGGCCAGATTTAGCTTCAATTCATTTATGTAAACTAGCTTTGGAATGGTATAAAAATAATAATGTGAAATTTGTGGCTAAAACAGAAAATCCTCCCAACTGCCCAGAATTAAGAGTTATTTAAAAGTACTGGGCCATCATTAAAAGAAAAATAAAAAAAAAACAAAAAAACTTTGAAGAAATATTAAAGATATTGAAATATCATTTAAAAAAGCATCAAATGGCTTCAATTCTTATTCTGTGCACAAGCTTATGGGTACCACCAAAGCAAAATTTTATTAGATTCCCACAGGAATAATTTGATTTTTTTTTTTTATATTTGATCTTCTTATATTATTGTGTTAAAGTTATTACTTGGTTAGAAATAAAAATTGAAGAGTACTTTTTTTTAGTTATTTTTCTACTTTCACATTTATTTCGTGTACATGCTTTAGAATCTAAAATAAAAACCTTTTTTTTTTTTTTTTTTTTTAACATCTTCACTTCCAACAAGCCTGCAAACAAGCACTATTAGGATAGGAAGTTACTGGAAGAGAAAAGATAAAGTTTATAAAGCAAGATAACGATTGACAGATGACTTAAAGGATTGCAATTATATGAATCAGGAAAGCAAGATGAAGGAAGCGAATTCCAAATAATTGATGTTCGAGGAAAAAAACTAGAGGAATAAAAGTTTCTGGAGCACTTAGGAATCAATCAAAACCAGCTCAAATGCCCCCTTCAAGCAATCAAATATTGTTGGCTTCTTATCATGACAAAAATAAATGGTAGTATCATCAGCAAATAATGCCACCTTAGATGTGAGAATATCTGGAAGATCGTTAATGTAAATTAAAAAGAGTATAGGGCCAAGGATTGAACCTTGAGGAACCCCTGAGGTTACAGAATAAGAAGAAGAGTGCTGTCCATCAAGGACAACTTTTATACTACGATTGGAAAGGAAGGATTCAATAATCTTAAAGATGTTTCCAGATACACCATAAGAAGAAAGCTTATGGAGAAGACCAGCATGCCAAACTTTATCAAACACTTTAGAAATGTCAAGAACGATAGCCTTAACTTCTCTACCTTTATCTAATACACGATAAAACCTAATCTGCAAATCAGATGGTATTGTACTAAAAGTGAAAATCTACTCTAGTGAGGCAACTCTCAATAAACATTTGTTGGGTCAAGCAGGAGCTACTTTTTTAGGTTTAATGGAAAAATTTCTGAGAATAAGTTATTACCTGTACACCAATAACTTTTACAACAAAGTACGTGATAGATCAAAAATATACATTTGTGGTACGTTAAGAATTGACTTAAAGTCAAATCCAAAAGAATGTCCAAAAAAAAACTGGAACAGGGAGGCGTTATAAGCAGAAGTAGAGAGGGTGTAGTGGTTGCTAAATAGAAAAACAAAAAAGACGTGCTTATGATTAGCAACTTACATTCGTTGCAAATGATTGAAGTGACAAATAGGAGAGGAGAGAAGAATATAAAACCCAACTTTCTTTTTTTTATACTTATAAATATTGTGAATTTTTATTTCTTGAACAGTCCTTGAATGTTCCTTAAATTCTACTAACATTTCTTTCTAAAATCATTTTAGTAATATATAGTTACTAAGGTTAATAAATTTTGTGATGATTACTATTTATTACTAAAATGAATCCTCAATTAAGTATGCAAAATTTAGTGAAGAGATTTCAATTAAGCCAACAGTTTTTATCCTGTGTTAAATTTGCTTACTTACAATTTATAGTGCAATAATCAAAGTATTTTGAGAAGGTTTGTCCATCCGACAAAATTTGCTTTTTTTTAATTATCCTTCTTTTTTTTTTCGATTTAATTAGAATAGAAGGCTGTGTATGTAAGTAGGCTTAATACTACCATTATTTGTTTTGTCCGTTTCTTTTTCTATTTATTACATTTATACAGACCAGAATATGCAAAACCTATTATCATTATTCATAGCTCTAGACTTTCATGTGGACGTAAAAGCGTAAACAATTGAAACCAAATTTTAAAAAAATTGTGATTGTAAGCTAGAAAACTATTTTACATCAAAAGTATAAAAATACAAGGTTGTAAAGATAAAAAAAAATTTTCTAGTTTTTTAAAATTTTGTTAAAAATACTAAAATCGACAAAATATAAATTACTTCTGATTTATATTTATAGAAATTGAAATTCGTATAGAACTTCGTAATCAGTTTTGAAAATTAAATTTTTTTTTTTTTTTTGCATACTTTTAACGATTTAGAATCTTTATTGTGAAAACAGAATAAACAAAGAATTACCCGACTTTTAGAATTTTATTCAAAATACTAAAATAGCTATAATTTTCTCGGTCGAATGTTTTAAAAACTTGTATAAGTCATGCCTACACTCAAAAATACTTGCAAAAGTCATGCCTACACTCTAAAAAAGAAAGCAAAAACTTCTACCTAATGATAGGATATGTGATATACCTCTAGTGAGGGGTAGTTTAATTTTCAACCTTTTAAGTAGAAAATTATATTGCAAATAATCAATTGTCATATATTGCTCTACACGCAACGCATGCTAGAGTATGTATCAACTTAATAAATTTTTTTAAATAAGTTTTTTATTAATAATTATTACAACATAGTTTTGTTTACTTGTTTAGAAAACTCAACTCCTCCTAAGGAAGATAAGTCGTTAGCTGAAGAAACTTTATCAACCACGCCGACGCGTCATTTAGACGTTGTTAAGCCAACATCGTTGTTTTCCGACTTTTCTGTAACAACGAACAATCATTCTCGCGAAATAGATAATGAAATTAATATATATGAAATGCCTTCTACTGAAAAGAATATAATTGAAATATCTAGTTTAACGGATAAAGTTGACCAGAGTTCTCTTAAAATAGATTTAGAATCGACTCTTGCTGTATTAGTTAAATCAGAGCATGATTCTGCGCAGTTCTTAACTAATGAAGGTATGGTGGATATTGATTCATTAAGTAAAACTGGTGCATCTTTAATTCACGAAGTTACGATAGATTCCAAGAAGGATTCACTAAATAAACCGGACTCTATAATACATGAAGTGATGACAGATTCTATGATTGATTCACTTAATAAAACTGACACCTTAGTTCATGAAATGATTACTGATATAAAGGTTGATTCACTAAATAAATCAAGTGCACAAAATGACGTAAGCCAAGCTCATAAAACAGACAGTTCTACTCAAACTGACTTACAAAGCGAATTTAAATTTGGCTTTAAATTTGACATTACGGGAGTTAACGTGAAAACGTTAAACATTTATGACATTTTCGAGTTGGTGGATAATTTGGATACTCTTAAAACAAAAGCGATGGAAGAACTAAGAACTAGATGTTGTGTAAATCTATAATAACTATTCATGTTTTAACCTTACTTTTAAGTTATTTGCGTAAAAAATGCAAGTTGTGTTTTTTTAAATAGAATTTTGTTTTAAGTTCACTCTGCTTTTTCCCGCAGCTGTTTTGATCTCCATATAGTCTGTTTAATTCAAGTTAGTATTTACAAGCAAACATGAGAGCATAAAAATATTTTTTTAGTCTCTGTTTTTCACAATGCAACAATCGTTTTCAGTATTGTTTCCAAATATATTCTAAAAACGAGTTAAAATACTTTCATCGAATAAAGGCGTGACATTTTAAAAAGCTAATCGATTTAAATTTTGTTGTGTGTCAAACACACTGAAACTGGTTTTTTAAGTTTAAAAAAGTAATTTATAAGTATTTGCAATATGATTAATCGTGCTAATATGTTAGTTGAAGACTAAATTTGTATATTTACTCTCAAGTTAGTAGTTTTTCTGATTAAATTAAAACATTTTAAATTCAACCTAAAAGGTTGCCAAATCAAGGGGGGCTTGCAAAATGAAAAATGCCTGAGATATTGTCCATACGTATTCTATATTTAAATTAGATTACATGCTATATGTCCTGCTCTTGATGGACATGCTTTATGTGCTGCTGCCTTGTATGATTCCCCTTTTTAGACAAAGACTAATGGGTCTTCCATAATTTACCTCACGTAATTTTTGATTCCTCTTTTTGCAAAATTTACTAGATCCATTTTACTTTTAATGAAACTAATTTGAATTTGGCTGTTTCATTTGAGTTCATTCTGTCTTTGTTCTCTATTTTTTTCTCAGGACTGTACTTTTTTCGATGATCAAAATGACTTTTTTTCATTATCCGTCAGACAATATTTTTATTATTGATAACTTTAGCATATTTGATAACTTAGCATTATTGATAACTTTTATTATTTAACTTTCATGCAGCTGATGGACTTATACTCCAGCTTTAACAAAAAGATTTTTTTATAGCTTAAAACAGGCAATCATTTTTGAATGTGCTCTCTTTTCTGCGATAGCTTGGAGCTTTCACTAGCTACTAAATTTTTTTTTAATTTTTAAAAATGTTAAAAGAAGTGTTTTTAGAATATAAAAAAGAAACTGTAGCAGTTTTTTATTTTTTTTTAAGGCCCCCCAAGAAGTCCTTACGGACTTATCACAGAGCACCGCAGAGCAATGGTTACCATTGCGCCACGGCTACTCAAAATTCGCACTTAAAATGTCGATAACAATTTGTTCTTGTTGTTTTAATTGAATTGCTATCTCATTCTTATACTGTATCTTATATTATAGTAGTACCCTAACCCTAACCCTTGCCTCAGAAACAAAAGTTCCGTGGTTCAAACCCCACCTCTGGGGAAGTCTTGCGACATCGGTTTGGAAGGAGGCGCGAACTTCCAATTAAAAGCTCATCCGCGGTGCTCTGTGATAAGACCTAAGGGACCCCTTGTGACACCTAAATAAAGTTAAAAAAACAACAAGACATTCAATGAAAGAGTAGAAAAAGTTGAACAAATGTTAATGATAAGGAAATGAAGTTATTAGTTTATGATATAGAAGATATTAGTTTAAGCTTGAATTTCCACGAGGAGCTGTTTGATAAAAGAATTGCCAGTATCAACGAACGAAAAAATGAACGATCAAGAAAAGAAACATCTTTTAGTGAAAACATCAAGAAAAAACACAGAATATCTGAAGATAGATCCAGAAGGGGAAATCTGAGAATTGATGGGTTGTTGGAAAAAGAAAAAGGAAGCTGAAATGAAACAGAAGAAAAAATTATATCGCTTTCTGAAAATAAATTAGAATTAAATAGAACAGATGTAGAGCGGGCTCATTGAACAGGTTTAAAAAGAAATGGACGTTCCAGAACAATTTTTATTAGTTTGCTAAGGTTTAAAGACAAGATAAAAATTCTCAAAAAATCATACAAGCTCAAAGGAACTAACATGTAAATGAAAAAATAAAAAATTCTTTATTTAAATTTAGTAGTAATAAGTCAATTCAAAATTAAAACATAATTTATATTTTAAATATTTAAAGATATTCATTAAAAAACTTTAACTATAATTTTAGTGTGATCTGTCTGACGTCAAAATAATTTTAGTGTGATCTGTCTGAAGTCAAAAGAGTGTTATAATGAACAATAAACTGTTAAATACTTAAAAACTACATAATAATAATCTAATTAAAAAAATTAGAAATAAAAAAAATAAATAATAAAAATACTTGAAAATTTATTCATACGCATATACGGTTAATTAGAATTTTTGTTTTGCGGGTGACCTTTTTTAACAAGGAAATTGAATTAATGTTTTTTTCATTACTTTCGTACAAATATATATATATATATATATATATATATATATATATATATATATATATATATATATATATATATATATATATATATATATATATATATACACACACACACACATCAGATTGGCTCAGTACTTTATGGCCTGATATACTTAGCCATAGCTCGAGATATACTAACTAAGTTGTTTTAAATTATTTTTATAATGACTTTTTATTTTATTAGTGTTTTACTAATAGTAAATCAGTTTAAGGTAGCTTGTCAAAACTTTTAACAGACAAAAGTTATGCATTTTTGAAGAAGACAAAATGTGCTGCAAAAAAGATTTATTGCAGTTGCCAGTTTTATGTCAGCAACAAATTTAAGTATAATTTCAAAAGATTCTTATGTGGCAAGCAATTTGTTCTTGTGGCCTTAAGAGTGTTCCATTTATCACTCAAAAGACTTTTCAAAGCAAAAATGTATATTAGCATCAAAAAAAGCTCACTAAAAATAAAATCCAGGTCATGAAGGTACCTGAGAAACATTTTATCTACTATTGCTATTCTCAAAACAGTTCGATTACTTTCTAAGCGTTCTTTGAAATCTGTATAAACTGAATCAAAACTTTAAATAAACAATGAATCTCATTAAAAATTATTATGAATTAATTTGTTAAGTATTTTTTGAGTTATTGCTAAGTATATTCGACCGGAAAATACTAAGCCCAACCGATATATGTTTTTGAATCTTATTTATACGTGTAGGAAAATATTTACATTAATTAACTATGTATTATTTTCAGATAAATGTTTTGGAGAATGGGTAGGAGTGTAAAGAAGAGTATTTTAGCAGCTACTTAGACAGTCTAAAAATTCGCAACTTTAGGAAAAATAAAGTAACATTTTTTCATTTAAGTTAAAATAAGTATTAAAGATCTTTTTTTTTTTACATTTAAAAATTTTTAAAATATTATTTTTTATTTTAAAAAATAACAAACTATTTGTTCATTAAAAATGTTTCAAAGTTTCTTTAAATTTTACTTCTTCTAAACCTATCCTATTTGAGCAAAATGGGCATTGATCATACCCTCCAAGACATTGTCAAGCCCCTTTTTGCCGCTTTTTGCAAAAAATGTAAATACATACAGACATTGTATACATGTGGAACTTTAGCTCACACAAACTATATAACCAGCTCTAAGCTTATTGTTAATAGCATATTCGCCATCAGCACGATTTCTATATTGCTCTGCAAAGGCCACTCCTTTTTCTCGTCTATGTTAATGATCTGCATAATGCCTCAAATTTAACGACAGTGATGTTTGCCGATGACACTAACCTTTTTCTGTCCAGTAGTGATATTGTTACTCTTTTTAATGACATAAACATAGAGTTAGTTAAAATTTCAAATTGGTTTAAGACAAATAAATTATCAATTAACTTAGAAAAAACTCAATGGACTCTATTTCATCCTAAATCCAAAAAAAAACTTTTACCAAATGATATGCCTCAAATATATATTGACAATGTTCAAATAAAGCAATCAAAAGTTATACATTTCCTTGGTGTTTTCATTGATGAAAACTTAACATGGAAAAATCATATCGAAACATTATGCAATAAAGTCTCAAAAAATATTGGAGTGTTGTATAAAGCGAGAAATTTTGTAAGTAGACATGCATTAATTCAACTTTATTACTCGCTAATCCAATGTCATGTAAACTATGCTAACATTGCGTGGGGTAGTGCTAAAAATAGTCAATTAGAACCTCTTTATCGGCAACAGAAGCATGTAGCACGTCTAATAAATTTTAAAGATCGTTATACTCATGCAAAACCTCTTTTAATAGAGATGAATATTCTTAATATATATCAACTAAATGTTTTTAATGTTCTTTGCTTTATGTACAAATGTAAGATAAACTTAACCCCAATATTTTTTCAAAATTTATATGCAATAAAGCCAAGAAACAAATATGAATTAAGAAATAACAATCTTATTCATCAACATTATTCGCACACCAATTTTGGAAGATCTTTTGTATCATATCGCGGAGTTTTTCTGTGGAACCAAATAGTGTTAAAAAACTTTTATTTTTCTAAAAATTGTAGTTTTCTTACTTTCAAAAATAAACTGAAAAAGGTTATCTTGTATATTTATCAATAAAATTGATAACATCTTCGAGTTTTTTTGAATATTTTATTTAAATATTTAGTTTTATTACATATTTTGACATTTTTTAACTGTATTTTATGTTTGGTTTTGGCTTATTAAAAATCTTGTATTATATGTTTGGTTTTGGCTTATTAAAAATCTTGTAAATATCAGTATTTTGTTTTTATTTATTTTGTATCGCATTGTTAAACGGTTCTCGGTGACAGGATCTTGCCATCCTCTTCGAGTTTCCGTGTTCTTTTTATTTTATGTAAAAAGATAATATACCAAATAAAATTGTAATAAAAACAAAAAAAAACAAAAAAAGTTTATATCTAAATGATTAACAAAAACTAAAGCTAAAAATGTTTTTTTTTTTAGCTTAAAATGTAAAATAAAAACGAAAATGTTTTGTAGTTAGTTTTAATTGTAGGTTCAGTGATTATCCTACAAAAATAACTTTTTTAGGTTTTTATCCATTCTTAGGATGGTGCTTGTTTTTAGATACGTTTTGGTTCTCATAGTCAGTCTTTGATGGGTTTTTGTTAATTTTGTATTTACTTGTAGGACTCGATTTTAGATTTGTATTCGTTCATGTCTTCTACTTTAAGCGGATTTGTGTTACCAGAATCATATTGATCATTAGATTTTTTAAAGTCATCGGC